GGGTTCAAGTCTTGGCAGGCTGAACTCTCGAGAGAATAATAGACGGATAGCAGTGCCTACAGACTCAGTGATGTAGAGCCTCCAGAACCTGAGCTACACAGCAAATATATACCGGTCTCTGCTCCTGGTAAGAGGGGGATAGCTCTCCTTAGATACATTGTTGATTAATACGAATTCCAACTCGAACAGGCACTAGTGTGCCCACGGTGGGTTCGTCTTATTTCTAACCCAGTACCGGCATCATGTTCAGTACCCTCTATGCTGGTTCTTGTGTAGAAGTTTTTTGTAGGGCTATGGCGAGGACAGTTAGCTTGTGTGACGCGGGCTGGTTGGCCTTTTGGGCCATAAGAAAGTTGCTATCATTATCATACCGGTAGTTGAGCGGTGGGGCCAGCTGCAGCTACACCACACCCATAGATTGTACAAGTAACAAAAGAATTATTGAAGGGGAATATTGCTTTCACTCTTCACAAGCGGTATCTGTGCGCAGGTTATTGCAATGTAAATGGACAATCTGTCTACCTGCTATTATCTCTTATGACCTTGGAGCAGCGCTCTACGAAACATACTGCACACGGGCAGCTTATCCCTAAACATGGAATTCCCTATTCCCTACCCGATATTTGAGCCAGCAACAAAAGTTCCCTGCGGGCCACCATGTCTCGTCACGCATATCGTAAAGACTGTTCCTTCAATATCCTCAATAAGCAATCGGAATGTGTTCATTAAGCCTTGCGGCACAATGTTTGGCTTGGCCGGTAGAATGGGTATATAAAATTACGGTGATCCATACTGTAATAGCTAGTCACTCGGTAGTAAAGACGGGCCCGCATCTATTGTGCTCTGGGGTTGACAAAAGTCGGGCCCACCTCCACCAGGAGCTGTGGCATTTGCACGGGCTAAACCAGATTAGGAAGTTCGAGTGATGACTGGTGAGTATTTTTTGGTGAGGGCAAAAGAAAAAAAAAGGTCGGGACCACCTCCGAAAGGATAAGCGGCGACTTGTGGTATGATATGAGGCAAATCATCTACGAGTAAAACGTAGACCACAGCGGGTGCAACCATGTACTCGGGTACCGGTACTTGTTGTCCTGGGCAAGAAGTATCCGGAAACAGGGATTCGCAAAATATATGGAACACTTCTTGAATAGGACAAGTAATGCGCGGATTTGTAAAGGGCAAAGGGTTCTTAATGCGGAAAATGAGCTTTTGAAGTCCGGTGGAATCTCCGGTCTAGATTGATCTTTTTCTATAATTTCCAAACCCAATGTAACTTAGTAACAAATCCTGTTTTTGACTGACCTTAGGTCGAATAGTCGTTCAATGTATATGGATTAATTCCAGTACGAGTAGTGTACTCAAGTAAAGGAAAAATATCTGAAAAGAGCTGGATATGGGCTAGGGGTAGAAATTTGACTTCCAAAATTCTGTTACCGTATCTAGGAATCCTTTACCTTTTACAAATCTAGGAATTACATGGGTGCCTCCACCGTGGTTCACGCCTTAGACGCAGACGCTCTACACCATACTCGAGCAACACTCTGGGAGAAAGTTTGTGTTTCGGAATACCCTTTCGCCCGAGTATGATATCATACATTACGGTAGTCTTCTTTCCGATGGGTTGGACCAAATCCGCGCTGTGCTCGAGAGCTCAGAAGTGACTTTACCCTCCACCCCCACTGATTGTAAACTGCAGGGGTAGAGTTTTCACCCATAGACATGCTTGGTATTAGCTCACCCTAATCATCCTACTCGTACAGTATAATCTGTTAACACTGTCGTGTTCGTGGTTTCGTGGTCACTAACTTCGCTGGTCGATGGCGGTGTGTGGGGGGGTTCATAGACGTATGATGTCTTGGCACCGGTGGCGACCGAGAAGATGAACCTATAATAGCTACAACAAGCCGCGGTGAGTGGATACCTTCGATATTCCACAACACAGGCCCCACATCCACCTATCGAGAGTGGATTATTGGAATGACGATGTAGCTAAGTCGGAGAGGAGCCCGTGTGGGTAGAATGACGGTTGGTTGTTTCGGTATTATAGTAATTACTACGCTTGTGCCCAGACGCCATTAACGAGGCCCTGCTGATATAGTATAATGCGTACGGTAAAGCCGTTGGGTTCCTGACCGTCAGGAATCAATTTCCATCCCCGGTTGCAAGAATACCGGTAGATATGAACACACCGCTGAACACGCGAGAAAACAACTTCGTTGTGTTATCAATACTGGAACCTTAATCAAGTTGAGCCGCGCCTAAGTAAAATAACTCAGATTTAGCCTAGCAAAACTACATGCCATGAGATTGAGCTATAATACTAGCTTCCTCTTCTCTTGAATTTCCGCTTGAGCCTTCTACCCATATCTTCCCAGCTAGGGGTGATAGAATTGGCCTCTGCGATTAGCGGAAATACCAGGTAAAAATGTTGTTTTACCCTCCAAAGGTCACGTTGTAAGCGTTCTATGAGGAGGAGCAATAAGCGGTAACGTTTTCGCGGGGTACAGTACTCTCCTACGAAATCGTCAACACCCCAGCTTTTGCGGTAGGCCTAGGCCCCTGAGTGGTACCGGTAATATTTTTGTGCCAGAATGGGGATGAACGATATGTTACCTGCATTATTATTTGACTAGGGCCCCACTACTGCAAACATACTTCATTTAACATACTTTTACAGGTTAACTGTGCACTGCGAAAGCGTAGGTATGGTTCTTGGTCAAAAGTCATCATCGGTGGTCCCAAGTACAGTTCGGTGACAAACGTGATCGTTGCGATGCTTTTCGACCGTACTCTCCCGCTCACCACTTGTCAATGCCAACTCTTCATGTAACACCGGATGTGCTTAAGCGGCCGGATTTTTTTTATAGAATAGATGGAATACAGTAATTCTCTTGAAGATACTCTCTACTAGTTTTTTAAATAAATATTCTCATATCAATTCCTAACAATAAATGAGGGCTTCCTTTACCAGTGGTTTTTCCTTGTCTGCTGATCTAGTACCTCCAGTCAAATGAGTACAATGTTCATGGTAAAGTTCCACAAGGTGTACCCAAATATGTTTAATGAGATTGAGATCTGGTAAATAGGGTAGCCAATCCTCCAAAACTTCAACACCATTCTCCTCCAACTATGCTATTATATTCCTAACAGTATGCACCCTAGCATTATCTTCTATAAAGATTGGCTCAATATGCTTTCCCTCCAATTCCTCCAAAAAATCAAGTAAAGAAAGGTCCAAAGTTTTAACATATGTTCTTGTATCTACTCTAACTCCATCTTCCACTTTTATTCTATTACATGTTTCTTTCAATCTACCAGAGAAACAAGTCCATATCATCTACTTAATATCACCAGACCTTCTTATCCTCTTAACAAACTTTGGAAGGTATTTTTACTTAGATATTCTGAAGAAACATTGAACTGCTAGATCTGCAGATTTCTTCATACTGCATTTATTACTCCAGGCTACTCTCCTTCATTGTGCAATTATCCAATGCCTATACTTAAAGTACTGTTTATATTGCTTCCTTATCAGTTCAGATATCAACCTTGGTCTTTTATCTTAGATATACTTATGAATACTATATTCTTCTAACCTCCTCTTAATTGTCATGACTAAGATATAAGATGCAAAACCTCAGTGCAATTCCTAGAATGAGATTTCTTGATATTAGTAGAAGGTAAGAACTAGATTATGGATATCCTAATTACTAGGTTTTTAGTTGCAACTAGTTCTTTTAAAAGCAAGAACTGATTTAATGTTTTAATATCATTGATAGTGTAATGATCCCTCCTCGGAT